TGACGGTGAGGAGGTCGTGAGTCTTCTGTTCGTTATGCGGCTGAGACAGAAGGAAGGGGTCATGGCTGACCCTGGCCTTGGCGTCTGGCCTGGTTCGCTTGGCTCAGTGGGCCTCGGTCGTTCGGCCCTTTGGTAGATGATATGTTGTGGGCCACGTGGCCCGCCAACTAATCGGTACCTTGAGACACCCCGGGGTTACAGCCCCGACACCAGGGTTTGCTGAGGATCAATCCCTATAAATGGCAGGACTTATCAATTAGTGTGATATCTTTAGGTAATTGTATTCCCTTACCAATTAGTCCTTCATATCCAAACAGACCCTAAATTTGAAGAAATAAGCGCCCAAGAGATGCCTTTGATGGATTATAAGAGATATGTGGAAAACAAAGGAATTGGCTCATTCGTAGGAATAACTTACATGGCATATTAACGCCTCCCTGACCTTAATTCAAATTTAAGGCTACTGAGTCAGTAGGCCCACTTGACTAGATAAGTCAAACTTTTCTAAGTTTGATCGAGTTTATAGAAAAAAATATCAATATTTATGTCTCCAGTTAGGTTTACTATGTAATGGTACTTATTTAGTACCGTAAATGTTAGTAGTTTGTTGTATAAATTTGATCAAACTTCAAATTGTTTCACTGTTTGGCAAGTAGAATTGCATCTTTTTAGGGATGGAAGGAGTATATGATATTGAAATTGCCACACCCAAGAGGCCAAGACTCTTTTTCTGTGCTAGCAATTTCTTCATGAAGTGTCGACAAGCATATGTAATGCTAAAAAAGTGGAAGCCCCACCTTCAGTACTTTGGAACAATACGTGGGTTATTTGGTTTTGTGGATAATTGGACCTTTGATAAAATTTGGGTGACACAACAAAATAAAAGTGAAAGAATTGTGAGAACCGTCCCATCCTCCTTGGTGAAGTGTCACCAACATCTCGTTAGAGGTAGTTTTAGTTCATATACTAAGCGGGCCCACAAACGATTTCACTTAATAATTTTCATGTGCATTTTGCAATTTGTTAGGGTCCACCAGCGACTTATGCCGAAAGAAATCCGACTAACAAAACAATGTCAATTATATATCATTAAAAAGAATAGCACATATATTCATATAATAAAGTCAAAAAAAATGCAAGCATATGACTTGAGTCTATTTTAATTACACAACCTTTGCACAAAAACATAGGTAACTTTCTAAAAAATTATTTCTATAACTTCTTTGGTAAAGTGTATTCGAAACCTAATTGAACTACCAAGATAGCCAATTTATCTTTCTCGCGGCTGGCGTAGCATCATGTAGGGCAGTTGAGTGGTGCCACATATATTGAACAAAAGCGATATTTGAAACCGCTGGAGCAATTTCAGTTCAAAAGCTAGGGATGTTAAAAAAATGTTTTTCTCGACAAACTTGAGGTTGAAAGGACTTTCGTCGGTCCGTAAACAATTTTCAGTCTGATCGGTTGGCTGCAGCAACCAGGCCTACCCGGTGCAGCCCGTAATGGTTCCATGTATCCGTTGCAATTTCAAAACAATTTCGATGGAAGGAAGAACACAAAGAAACAAATCACACGCGACATGCTCCATACTCCAGGAGGAGAGGCCTAGAGAGTAGAGACCCTAGACCAACGAGGCCCTTTTCATGCCCTTTTCGGACTCTACGGGAACTTTGAAAAATCCTTCCTGGTTTCAATTAATATATCTGAAGATAGAGCTGTTCATCTTGCCAGGACATTTGGCTGTAAAGTTGGTACCATGCCTTTCACATAGTTAGGCTTACCCCTGGGAACTACCAAACCAACCATTCAGGAATACTCACCACTTCTAAATAGAATTGAGAAAAGGCTATCTGGGGTAAGCAAGTTTCTATCCTACCATGGGAGACTTAAAAAAGGGCAGACCCAGTGCCCGAGGCTCCCACATGAGTGGGGTCTGGGGAAGGGATAAACCGAGACAAGCCTTTCCCCCGCAAAATCTACGGAGAGGCTGCTTCGAACCCACGACCTGGTGACTCAGTGAGACAGCTCTCACCACTGCACTAGGCCTAACCATGGGAGACTTATTCTTATTAATTCAGTTTCTCTGCCCTGCCCACATTCTACATGTGCGGCCTAAAAATTCCTCCTCAAGTTATCAAACAAATTAATGTCTATAGAAAACATTTCCTTTGGAGCAAGGGGGGCATAAATAGAAAAAGGACATGCCTAGTAGCATGGGAAACAGCATGTAAACCCAAGGATCAAGGAGGACTAGGTATCATAGACATTAAAAGCCAAAATAATACTCTACTGCTAAAATTCCTAGACAAGTTCTATAACAAAAGTGAAGTTCCCTGGGTTCAGCTCACTTGGTCCAAGCTATATGCCAACAATCAAACCCCACCCCACAGCAGGAGCCCTGTGGGATCCTTTTGGTGGAAAGAGATCATCAGTTTGTTTGGCAATTTTCAGACTATTGCAAGCTGCAGGCCAAACAAAGGTGACACCATCTCATTCTAGACACAATCATGGACAGGGCATGACCAGGTTCTTAAGGACCTATACCCACAGCTGTACTCCTTCACCAGAAAATAGAAATGTTCACTGCAGTACTTCATTGAACAAGATATGAGTCGTGTTTTCAGTCTACCTCTCTCACAGCAAGCTGCTGATCAATTGATATGCATAGAAAATAGTATACAAGGTTCAAATATCAATGAAAATCACACTGACATTTGGAGTTATTGTTGGGGATCCACAAGATACAGTAGCAAGAAAGCGTACATCAGATTACAAGGGTACACTGAAGCACCCCCCCTATTCTCATGGCTTTGGGGTTCAAGTAACTTGGGCAAACATAAGTTTTTCTTCTGGCTTCTTCTTAGAGACAGGCTCAATACAAGAAACCTTTTGAGGAGGAAGAATATGTTTCTTGAAGATTATAGCTGTGTTCTTTGCACCACAGGGCATGAAGAAACACTCTTTCATCTGTTCTTTGAATGCCCCTTCGGTATATCCTGCTGGAACACCATTCCCATCAGCTGGAACATGAATCTGCAGCCACTTGATATGGTTATAGCAGCGAGGGAAGCCTTGGAAGCTCCATCTTCAGGGAAGTCATCATCACCTCCTGTTGGGCAATCTGGCTGGTCAGAAATGGAGTGATCTTTGACAATGAGCAAGCTAATCTTAATACATGGAAGAGTAGATTCATAGAAGAACTTGGCTTTGTGTGCACAAAGGCCAAACCAGCTAGACAAAACTTACTTAATTTATGGAGAGACAATTTTATATAGTGTAGTCCCTTTTTTTCTCATTTGGGCCTTGATGTCTTGTAATTTTGCTGAACCTGTACTGTCCATTCTTTTATTTAATTGAAAAGGAAAAAAAAATAGGTAGAGGACTTCCTGCTGATTCGTCAAAAAGACCAACGAGGCCTTGCCACCCGCACACAGCCCGAGGCCACATCCTCGACGAGGCGACGAGGGCAGCAAGAGCCCAGGCAATTTTCAATCCCGGAACCCAAAGCCCAAGAGGCCCACGAGTGCGTCGAAACGGTACGCCAGCGCACGCCGGCGACTCGGCGAGCCGCGCCGCCTTTAATTCGAACGTTGGAGGAGTCCAGAGTCCACCATGTCCATCCCCCGCAGCCGCAGCCGCAGCCGCAGCCGCAGTTGACACCGGCACACCGCGAGCCGTTGTGCAGCCCCCGCCTTCTCACCTCCATCCGATTCGTCTCCGCTGCGCCCCCTTCCTCGGCGAGGATTAGCAGGTGAGCCCTCAACCTCCGCACTTCCGGCCCGCGTCCCTTTCGATCGGCCGGTCTTGATGGGTTCCGCTAGTGCTGCGGTTGGGACTGGGACTCGCGCGACCTTCGGTTGGTGAGCGCCGCCGTGGTGGCCTTGGTTGGTAGGGTTCCCGGATTCCCGCTTCCCGGGGTACTAGTGTACATAATACCGCGCACGCGCAGCCGGGTTTCCTGCTGGCGGGCGCACGTTCGTGCGCGGCCCTTTGGTGGCTTGGAATTGGATGCTCTTCGAGGTAGGATACTAGGATGACTGGGAGGGTCGCTGTGTGCGCCCCAGTTCTTGCCAAACGTGTCTTTCTCTGGTTTGGGTTCCGTTGCTAAATGCGTTTCCTGGATGTTGATTTGCCGTCTCATTCTCTCGTTAGCGGCCCTGCTGGCGACACGCGAGTGATTTTGTCTCAATGTGCTCTGGAATTGTTTTGGGCTTCAAGGGATTTATGGTTGAGAAGCAAATTTTGCAGATTTGGGCTTCAGACATCCTGTTTATCTAGCGGTTTTTGTTTTGCTCATCCTGACACCGTGGTTCCCAATGCTGTGCTCATGTGATATTAAATTTGGTGCTGCAGATATCTGTACATTCCTGCTCTGCTGAGGCTGGCTAGGTAGCTGGTAACAGCAGGAAGAAGCAACGATGGCTGCTGATGTTGGGCTGCGATTCAACGGCTGGTCATACTCAGATTGGCCTTACAACGACCACAATGCGCAGGCTACGTTCTGCTTTCCTAATCATTCATTCCTTTGTAATTTCTTAGAACTGTCCACTGAAATCTTGGACCTGTGTAGCTCCCAAATGTGAAATGTGATCACGAGATATTTTGATATGACAGACTGGTGCTGCTTAGATCCAGGCTTTGTACTTTCCTTATGTTTTCTTACAAGTCTAGATAATGGCTCCGTGTATTGTTCTTTGTCATTCAGCTCTTTTGGTTAATCAAATATCCTGAATTCTCATTTTTCTTTTTGCCTGGTTTTCAGAATTCTTCAGTTCAGCAAATGGTGCTAGATCATGGTTCAGTGTCATTTGGTAGATTTGCTGCAGAATCCTTGTCATGGGAAAAAAAGGTCAGTGTTTGAACATAACAGACGCCAAGAGGAACTAAACAAGTTCACAGCCCCTGGTTTGGTTGCACAAAAGAAGGCGTTCTTTGAAGAATATTACAAGAGGGCGAGGCATCTGAAGGCTCAGGGGGGATTGCACCAGACTGGAGCCGCAATGGAGGAGAACGACGACAGTACGCTTGGTCTTGGCCATAGCAGCCAAGCAGATGAATTGCCTGCAGCTGTGTTTGAAGATCCAGTAGCCTGTGCTCCAAGTTCTACTAGTTTTGAGCCTTCCACTGAAGTTGGTTCATCAGATGAGAGCAAATGCCAAGATGCTCATGACCTCGGGTACTTGACATTTAATCCTTTATTTTCTCAGACAGCATGCTTGACAAACATTCAAGAGGAGAGTTCTAGCTCTGGTCAAAAGCTTGGATCAAGGATTGTCTTAGCAAGTCTACGATCAGAATATCTCAAAGTTGATCCTGAGAAGAGTGGGGCAAGCAAAAATGTACCAATTATTAATAGGTCAAGAAAGGCATCAAAGGTAATGTCTTCATATCAATGTTTTCAAGTCGTCCCATTAATCGTGATTAATCGCGACTAATCATCCTTATCGGTCCTTAGTGACCGATTTGGGGTACCGAGGTGACCAGCTCGATCAGAAAGCTAGTCGTCCGATTAATCGTCCGACTAGGACATGGACGACTAGTTTGGTTGCTCTGTTTTTTGGGCCTGTTTAACCAGGCCTATATGTGTCCTATTGGGCTTGCAATTTGGTCTGTTAGGGTTAGAATAGACACCAAAAAGCAGGAGGCACGCAGGCACACGCCACAATTTTTCCCCCGTGCGCCTCCAGTCTCCCGTGCGCGTGTTTCCTCCCTCCTGCGCGCAATTCCTCCCTCCCGCGCGCGATTCCTCCTCCCCCGCGCTCTATTCCCTGTCTCTGGTGACCTATTCTCCTCCCCCGCACACTATTCTCCTCTCTGGTGAGCTGTGTAGCCGGCGGCACCCTCTGCCAGGTCAAGTGGTCGCCGTTCTTCGTGATGAGCTGCTCCGACGACGGTATGTGCCTTTCCCCTCTCCATCTTCTTCCCTCCTCCCCCATCCCTCACTCTGCAGCCTCTCTGGCTCTCTGCTAAACTGCTAAGTTGCTTGCTGTGATGTACTGTTGTCCCTCTGCTATTCTCTGACTCTCCATCGTCCATCCTAAGAAGTTGTTCTTCTGCAGATGTGGACCGACGATGTGTGGCTGCTATGGTCTGCTATGTGCTAACTGCTAAATGCTAGTTATTTGCTACTGCAGCAGTGCTGCTGTTGAGCTGTGTCAAGATCAAGACTACATTAGTGTTGCTAATTATGGTCTTCTTTGGTATTTTAGGCTTCCAGCAGCAAGTCAGCAAAGAAATGAAGTTTGGGACAGGAATATGGACCTCTGGACATGACAAAAAAGAGAAGAAAACAACTCCCACAAGTAAGTCACCAGTTAAACATTAATGTAGTCTTGATGCTTGCTTTATTGTGTATACTATATAGTATATATAGGTATATATATAGTAGGTATATATGTCCTGATATATAGGACGACCAGGGGTCGACTAGGCTCGACTAATCGGCCTGGTCGACGACTAATCGCGATTAGTCTCCTGGTCGGTCCCATGGCGACTAGGTTCGACTGGACGACTTGAAAACATTGCTTCATATCAAATGTCGTGAAAATACTTTTTGTCTTGATTTCCACTGTAGTGGGGATATTGGTATTCTATTTTAGAAAATTCATGACAATCGCACAATAATAAAGGTGTTGCTGCATGGCTAGATACTTCAAGATTTGGATGATTTGTGTTGCTGCATGGCTAGGTACTTCAAGATTTGGATGATTATTTACTTTGTAGAATGTAGATTCACTGACAAAATAACAAATATTATACATCTATGTGGCCATTTATTTGCTACAAATACATTAATAGCGCGAATCTCACCTAGATTGCAAGATTTGGATATTGATTTAGTACATAGCTACATGGATAAAATAACAACCTTTTAGCAGGGATCATAAAAGTGATAAAGCACATGTATGTATTTATTTACTTCAAATACATGATTTTTGCAGAGATCGTGGCTTTGAGCAAGTTCTGAAGTTCCATCCTTAATGTAGCAGGGAGGGTGTAATTACCAGAATATATCTCTGTTCTATATATAAATGTGAACAAACTTGGCAACTTTCTGAATAATACTAAATAAAATTTTCACGCTGTAGACTTGCCCCTCCGTGTTGATTGATATACGATGTCATGGAAACTTAAGTTTTGGACTTTGTTTATCTGATACATCTCTGTCTATTACATTATCTCAGGACCTGCCAACTTCTGTTATCAACATCCCAAGGGTAGATTTAAGAAGGAATTCAGAAAACAGACCCTCTTGAGACTTGAAGGATCCATTCCACAAGAGAGTTGAGATGAAATTGCGTGCTTTATCTGATAGGATGGTGTTGTAGATTCCTTCATAGGCCGGCAATACCGGCGTAGGGTCAGGCGTGTTGCAGCCAGTAGTGGCTAAGGCGCCTTTATTTGTTTAGCAAGTCAGTAAGTCAGGAGGATTTTTAGGATCTATAAGCTATGGTTTGTTAGGAAACCACCTGGACTATAAAGGTGGCTCTTTAGAGATGTAAGGATTTTATCGAAGAAGAATAGAACTCTACCGTGCAGGTGGGGTTCCTCTTCGACGGTGGCTGCGCGCGCTTCTGCTGCTGCCGCCGACGACTTCCCCACTGCACCTTTGCCTCGCTATCCCCTCCGTTCCAATTCCCAGTCCAGCCTACTCCTCCAATCTCCTCTACGTACTCCACGGCGGCAACGCCGTATCAATTTGGTATCAGAGACCATTTCGGGTGAATCGACAGCCATGTCCGTCTCCCAATTCGATCCTGCGGCCCTTGAGAAGAAGCTGGACGCCAATTTCGATCGAATCTTCGGCCAGCTCACCTCCATCACCAATCGCCTCAATTCCCACGACTCCCGTCTGGCTCGCGTGGAGACCGGCAAGCCCGATGCAGGTAAGGGCGCCGACGGGGAGGATGGTCACGGTGGTGAAGACGACACGGTTGCGGACGCATGGACTGCGTTCTGCGATCGCACGCTTCGCGAGCGGGAGCGCTTCGCCCGTGATTTCGACTCGCACGATCGGGACGCGTCCGATTACCGCGCCTCTGACCGTGAGTTCGGCGGGCGCGGTTTCCGCGGCTACGAGGACCGCGGCCCGCGCGGCTTCAACGACCGTGGCACGCGCGGCTACGAGAACCGCGGCCCGCACGGCTTTGAGGAACGCGGCCCGCGCGGCTACGATGATTCGGGCGCGCGCGGCTACGGCTTCGACGACCGCGGCTTCAGGGGATACGACGACCGTGGTGGGCGCGGCGACGGTCGCGGAGCACGCGACTACGACCGCGGTGGAGGCCGTTTCTTCGATCGGCACCGTGAGCAGCACAGACCGCCCAAAATTCCCTTTTCGGCCTTCAACGGCGAGACGGATCCTCTGACCTGGCTCAACAAATGCGACAACTTCTTCCGCGGTCATCGTGTCCCAGAAGATGAGAAGGTGTGGATGGCGTCTCTGCACCTCGACGGCACTGCGGCAGAATGGTACTACCAGATGGAGCGTGACTTCGGCATGGTCCCATGGCCGCGCTTCGTCGACTTCGTCAACCTCCGCTTCGGGCCGCCGATCCGCACCAACTCCATGGCCGAGATCAAGGCCTTGGTCCGCACGGGCACCGTTGAGGACTACTCACGGCGGTTCCTGGCCCTGCTCGCGCGCTGCGACAACCTCGCCACGAGGACGGTGATTGATCTGTACACGGGCGGGTTAGGCCAGCTGTTGGCTGCCGACGTCGAGATGCAGCACCCCGTCAATCTACAACAAGCCATGAGCCTCGCGCGGGCGTACGAGCAACGCCACGCGGAGGCCTCTACTGTCAACAGCTCGGCGGCGCCTAAAGGCTCTGGCCGCCGCGCCATTGCATCGGCCGCCACTACTGCCTCCGGCGCTGCGGTGCAGGACGGCAAGCCAAATGGGCCACGACCGCGCTTTCGCCGCCTCACACCTGCGGAGATGCAGGAGAAGCGTCAGAGTGGGCAGTGCTATTTTTGCCCGGAGCCGTACAGCAAGGACCACAAGTGTGCTACCAAGGGCGTCTTCCTCATGGACTTGGCGGATGGCGCGGATGACCCCCTCAGCGAGATCAACGACGTGGAGATCTCCCTCCACGCGCTCACCGGCCTCAACTCCGCTGACTCTATGCTGCTGCAGGTCACAGTGGGTGGCGTTCATCTACGGGCGCTGGTGGACACCGGCTCCACCCACACGTTCATCCACTCCACGCTCGCCCAGCGCCTCGGTCTCACGGTGACCTCGCGTGCTGGCCTTAACGTCATGGTGGCCAACGGCGACCGGGTGTGCAGCCCGGGCGTCTGCCTTGCTACACCGGTCACCATCGGCGGCGAGGCCTTCTCCATCGACTGCTTCGCGCTCGACTTGGGCGGTTTCGACTTGGTCCTTGGCGTCCAGTGGCTCCGGACGTTGGGGCCCATCATCTGGGACTTCGCTGCCCTGGCGATGTCTTTTTGGTACAACAGGCGCTCCCATCACTGGACTGGCCTTGGCAGTAAGGGGTTGGCGGCTCGCACTGTCGCTGATCCCCGTGCTGTTTTGGAGCAGCTGTTGAAGTCCTACCAGGACATCTTTGAGGAGCCACGGGGCCTGCCACCGACACGCCGCCATGATCACCGGATTCATCTCCTGCCGGGTTCTCCACCGGTGGCGGTGCGCCCATATCGGTACCCGCAGCTCCTCAAGGATGAGATCGAGCGGCAGTGCGACGACATGCTGGCCCAGGGGATCATCCGGGAGTCGACATCGCCATTTTCCTCCCCGGTGCTCCTGGTCCGCAAACATGATGACAGTTGGCGCTTCTACGTCGACTACCGCGCCCTCAATGACTGCACTGTCAAGGACAAATTTCCGATTCCGGTGGTGGATGAGCTCCTGGACGAGTTAAAGGGTGCCCGCTTCTTCACCAAGATCAACTTACGCAGCGGGTACCATCAGGTTCGTATGCACCCGGACGACGTCGCCAAGATTGCCTTCCGGACGCACCGGGGGCACTTTGAGTTCCTCGTCATGCCCTTCGGCCTCACCAACGCCCCGGCGACATTCCAGGCGCTCATGAATGATGTGCTCAAACCATTTATTCGCCGCTTTGTTTTGTTTTTTTTTTGATGATATTCTCATCTACAGCCACTCGTGGGCTGAGCACTTACAACATGTCAAGGTTGTCTTTGCGGCGAATCTTGCGACCATCGTCTCTTCGCCAAAGCGCTCAAATGTTCCTTGGCCGAATCTTGATGGCTTACCTCGGTCACATCATCTCCGCACAAGGGGTCGCCATGGATCTTTGAAAAATTACGCTGCGATGGAGGCGTACCCACAACCCGTTTTGATGCAGCGCCTTTGCTGGGTTCCTCGGCCTCACCGGTTATTACCGAAGTTCATCATTGGTACGGCGGTGTTGCGGCGCCGCATGGCCGACCCCTCCTCAAACGGGAGGCATTCACATGGACGGCGAGCGCCAGCGGCTTTCGCCATCCCTCAAGATCACGCGATCACCGCACCGCCGCTCCTTGACTTCCGGACTTCACCAAGCGGTTCCTTGTGGATCGTGATGCGTCCGGCGCTGGTTTGGCGTGTGTCTTTGCACCAAAGCGACGGCGCTATTGCATTTTTTTTTTCACCGGCGGTTGCTCCTCACCACGCCAAAGTTGCCAAACTTATGAGCGCGAGCTCATTGGGCTGGTCAAAAAGGCTGTCCGTCATTGGCGGCTTTATCTCTGGGACGTCGTTCTCGTCTGCACCGACCACTGGAGCCTCAAGTTCCTCCTCGACCGGTGTCTCACGACTATTCCCCAAAGCACACGTGGGTGTCCAAGCTGTTCGGGTACGACCTCACGGTTGAGTACCGCGCCCGGCAAGTTCAACATCATTATTGCGGACCTTACTGTCTCGCCGTGACGAGGAAGCAGCGGTTTTGGCTCTTTCGGGCCACTCTTCACCGACTACGATGCACCGTGTGTCTTTGAGTGCGAGATGATCTGACAGCCCGTAACCTTCGACAACAAATTGGCTGCCGAATAGCCACGGATGGTGGCGGCTAGTTGATGGCTCTTTCTTTGTACAACAACCGTATCTTCGTTCCGGAGGGTTCTACCTTGTGTCGCGGTACGCCGCCGTGATGCTCATGGGGTCGGGCCATGAGGGTGTCTAGAAAACTCTCCACCGTTGCGAGCTTCGTTCAACAACAAGACATCCATCGCTTTGGTCCGTGATTTTGTGCGTGGGTGTGCCATCTGCCAGAGGAACAAAACAGAGCACCTACACCCAGCCGGCCTTCTCCAACCCTTGCCGGTGCCAAGCCATGTTTGGAGTGACATTGCTATGGATTTTGTGGAGGGCTTTCCACGGGTTGGAGGCAAGTCCGTCATATTGACTATCGTCGATCGCTTCTCTAAGATGGCTCACTTCGTGGCACTCAGTCACCCCTACTCCGCACAGTCCGTGGCTCGGGCGTTCTTCGACAATATTGTCCATCTACATGGTTTCCCGTGCTCCATTGTCAGCGATCGCAACACAGTTTTCACCAGCCAATTTTGGGAAGAATTGTTCAAGCTGGCCGGCATCAAGCTCTTGCGCAGTTCAGCTTTTCACCCACAGACAGATGGACAATCAGAGGTCACCAATCGCATCATTGTCATGTACCTCAGGTGTCTCGCCGGTGATCGGCCACGTTCCTAGCTGCAGTGGCTTCCTTGGGTGGAATTTTGCTTTAATACTTCATTCCAGTCCGCCCTTCGTGCCACGCCGTTTGAGGTTGTCTATGGTCGGCCGCCCCCAGCCTTGATATCTTACACACCTGGAGCGGCTCGCGTGGCTGCTGTTGATCGACAGCTGCAGGATCGTGATATCTTCTTGGTTTGAGATCCGGGAGCGTCTTATTTTGGCCCAGGACACCATGAGAGAGCGCCACAACCAGAAACGCCGCCATCTGGAGTTTCTTTGTGGGCGGCCGGGTCTACTCGCCTTCAAAGAATGGATCAGAAGTTGGCATCACGGCTGCCTCCCCTTCCAAGCTTGGACCGCGCTACTTTGGGCCATATCAAATCATTGAGCGGCTTGGGGCTGTTGCCTATCGTTTACGGCTGCCGCCTAATGCCCGCATACATGACGTTTTCCATGTTGCTTTGTTGAAGAAGTTCGTGGGTGAACCGCCTGCTGCCATTGTGCCTCTGCCAGTCATTCTTCGTGGTCGTGTGGTACCTACTCCATCACAGGTGGTTCGAGCTCGTCTGAACAGGGGTCGCTGGGAACTCTTGGTGCAGTGGATTGGTTGCTCCGCTGCTGATGCTACATGGGAACCAATTGCAGATTTCAAAGAGCGATATCCGGCATTCCAGCTCGCGGACGAGCTGTTTGTTGGAGAGGAGGGAAATGTTGTAGATTCCTTCATAGGCCGGCAATACCGGCGTAGGGTCAGGCGTGTTGCAGCCAGTAGTGGCTAAGGCGCCTTTATTTGTTTAGCAAGTCAATAAGTCAGGAGGATTTTTAGGATCTATAAGCTATGGTTTGTTAGGAAACCACCTGGACTATAAAGGTGGCTCTTTAGAGATGTAAGGATTTTATCGAAGAAGAATAGACCTCTACCGTGCAGGTGGGGTTCCTCTTCGACGGTGGCTGCGCGCGCTTCTGCCGCTGCCGCCGGCGACTTCCCCACTGCACCTTTGCCTCGCTATCCCCTCCGTTCCAATTCCCAGTCCAGCCTACTCCTCCAATCTCCTCTGCGTACTCCACGGCGGCAACGCCGTATCAGATGGATGCTGATAGAACTGCGGCCTCTACTAGATCAGCTTCTTACCAACCTCCTGAGAGAGCTATGACTTCATCTAGATCTGCATATCAAGATAGACTAGCAATGTCTTCTAGATCCAGTGTGTGTCAGAACACCAGTAGAGCCTTGGCACCTTCTAAATTAGCTGCTCAAGATTCTCATAAATATCTTAAAGGTGTGAGGGTTCAGATGCCAAACCCCATGGAATTTTTGTTAATAAAGGATCAAGTGCTTCTCTTGCTTCTAGAAACAGTACTGCAACTGGGGGAGTCACCTGCAAAGATCTTGGTGGTGCCCAGTTCATCTCAAGTTAGTGCAAAAACTTCCAGGACTGCTCAGGTAATTTTGCCCCGTCAACAAAACTCCATCAGCTTCAAATGGTTGAACTTTTTGTCCAATCTGTTGCGTGCACCAGTGCATTTTCCCCATTGAGAAATAGAACTTCAGTTGCTTGATGCTTGTTTTTTTATCCTGATAAGTTTGCTGACCCTAAACTTGTCGATTCAAACATCTGTAACAAGGTCAATATCATTTTGCAGGTCACATTGAAAAGATCAGCAGTTCCTACCAGCGTAAACAATGTGTCACAGAATAAAAGGTCTTTAATTCTCTCTGTTTCACATTGACTGGAAATATTACAGAATTGTTACTGATAGAGCTGATGATCAGGAAGCACACACTGGTGGCATTGGATGAAAAATACCCAAAGAGAGAATATGTGCGCAGATCTGCACCTCCAAGTGCAAGGTATAACTGTTTACGATTTGCTGAGTGGTTTGTTAATAGGTATTCACTGAATCTGAACCTTAAGCTACTGTGGTTCTTTGCAGAAGCAGCTCCGAGAATCTCCCTCGTGCTGCAAAGGCACCTAAGATTTCAAATGTGACGAATCCGGTGTCCAAGGTAAAACCTTTGAGAACCCGGGTGGTGGTCCACAATATCTTTTTGCAAACATTGGTGGGATTGAAACTGATTAGCAGATTGGATTAGATCTTCTTGAGAAGGAGTTTATTTTTGGATGTCGAGGGATGCTGCCAGTTCATAGTATTTTGTTTTGTTTCTTTGTCCTATTCACTAGCTGATTAAATTGTACTTTGTTGTAGACTGAAGTTGTGCAGAAATCAAGATCATCAAGTAATCCCGTTGGAGGAAGAAATATGTTGACAAAGCGCTCTGCAAACTGCAATGAAGAAAAAAGAAAGGTTAGATATTTCATTATTGGGCATTTGCCTTCTGTCAATGATCTTGAATACTAAGCTGGGTTGGTGCATGAGCCTTCTTTCTTTAGTAGATGCCGGCATTAGCTGATGCTTATCCTTGATCCATCTTCAGTGCTACTAAAGTTTCTTTTTCCTCGCTTTTGGATACCAACATAAACTAAAATTGGTTGGGGATGCATCGTGTGTTTACAGGTGATCCGTTCGCACACAGGAGACCTGGCTGAATCAAGCATGAGGAGCAATCTGAAGGGGGGTGGCCCATCACTGACTAAGAACAAGCCACGGTAGGTCAAACCACTGACCAAGCCACGGTAGTGTTCCCAGCAATTGCTCAGCACATCCCTTTGCAACCATTCAGACATTCAGTATTAGCTTCAAACCGTGATCCAAATGTTTTTAACCATGACCACCTCAGAATCTTCATGAACGCCTACGCTAGCTTGTGTTTGTCAGCACTTGCACAGGTTAACAATGGTTCTGACTGGCCAATCTTTTGTAGGCAAGAGAGGCCACGGTGGCGATGATTGCCAATCTTTTGCAGGCAAGAGAGGCTACGATGGCGATGATTGCAGCCGGAAACCGTTGGTGCACTTGGCGGCCTCGAACTGGAGAAACGCATCGTTTTGTTTGGATCACCTGGAGCCTCCAAACTTCTCGTTAGCTTTGCAACACGAAATTGAGACAAAGCCCTTGTGCGCCGGTCATTACGGGCAATCAAAAGCAGCTCAGTTCATACAGAGCAAGAAGACATGCCTTGTCTTGTAGCTGTTGGTCGTCGCATAGAGATGCGCAGTGGCTGGCTGTTTGCTGTTGGACGTGAATCTAGAGCACATCCCCTCGATGTTGGAAGCGTTGTCGTCACTGTTGTAGTCCAACAACAGTCACAAGAGAATATAATGTAATGGATATTGGATTCTTCTTTTTCACGGTTGTGCAAGGCAGTCTGGAAGGATGCGATGGATTCTTGGCGCTGCTGTCGTTACGGCCCGTGAGGCCGTGACATTTCTGGCCGTCACGTTTGTTGCTGTTAATCGAAAGGGATACACCCAGAATAACTTTCTTTTGTTGCTAAAAAAAGGGAAAAATAGTAACTTTCTTTTACCGACAAGATGGAAAGAGTGGCTGGCCCTCAGGTCCTGGGTACCGATAAGATCCACGGGAAATGTCCGTGGTACGTCCCATGCATATGAGGCTCTCTACAGCCTAGTCCATAAACAGAGGACAGTTTTTTTTTTTTTGTGTGTGTGACTTTAAACAGAGGACAGTTGAGTTTTTTGGCCAGAACATAAGCACACAGGTTTGCACGGATCGAGATTATTCTATTTAGATTAACTAAAATAAACCGGTAGCTGCTAAGAAAAAGGTTTAGATTCTGTTTGGATCATAAAGCTAATAGCCAGCCGCTAATAATTAGTTTCTTCAAATCTAAATGGGTTTAGTTTAATAGTCTAGCTAATTGTTAGCTAAATACCTAACTAACAACTATCTCACTAGTTGATCAAACCAACTAATAGCAGCTAATATTAGTTATGAGGTGTTAGCAAGCTAATTAGTGGCAGCTAATGGATCCAAACATGATCTTAATAGCTGCTTATAATGTACTGCATTCGTTTTAAATTGTAAGTCGTTCTAGCTTTCTAGATATACCTTTTACTACACATCTAAATATATTGTGTTCCGTCCGCAAAAAATATAAATCTCGCTTCCCGTAGATTAATCATGAGAATATATTTTCATAATGAACCTAACTGAAGATCTAATGTAGATAATATCTTATAAACTTAGTCAAATTTAAGATTTTTTAACTCCTCGTGAAATGAGATTACATTTTTTTTAGACGGGGGAGTATGCATCTGGAAAAGCAACTTGGAACAGATGGAGTGTAACTTATCGTCTATTTTTAAGGGAAATTTTGCTCAGAGACACTGCACAAACGTGCAATTTGCTGTTGAACACCGTCAACTCGAAAATTGGTCCAGTACCATTATGAAATTGAGATTCTTTGCTGTAACACACTGCGGTCATTATTTTATTCATTTCTCGTAATTGTGGAGAGAGAAGGTGGGAGAAATAACATGTTTGCCCTCGTCTTCAACCTCCGTGGCCGCGCAGCCCCGCTGCCCCTTGCCCAGCGCCGCATGGGAGCAATGCTCCGGGGCGCTCCCTACAGCGTCGCCACCGGCGACCACCTTGGCCCCGGGCTCTGACCCTCCATGCCGCCGCCAGTACCTGCTTCGCTCAAGCTGCGCGCCCTAGCCGCCACAGCCGCCGCGATTCTGTTGCCAGCCGCGACTCGGAACCGCCCCCGCGGGGTCCGCCATGCAGAGCCGGGCGAGGTCGGTGTCGCGGCACATGAGCAGGAGCTTCCTCCCGTCGCCGAGCGGGGTCGGGGACGACGCTAGCACGGCCCAAGCCGACTCATCCATGGGCCAAGCATCCTCGAACACGAGCAGCGACGGCCCCCGCCCTGCTGCGGCCGCGAACCGCGGCTCGGCGAGGATACGGCCCACGCCGGCGAGGTACTCCGGCCCGCCGCTCTCCCACAGGTACTGCATCTATAACACCCTAGGTGTTAGCCTTGCATAAATTGACTTGCATAGCATGAGCATGATCATCAAGCATTCATATATAAGCATTTACACTTGAAACATTGGATTGAAACTTATGCAACATTTGCTTGTTATTTCATGTTTCCTAGTACATATATGCAAATAATAATGAGTGAATACATGTAAATGATTGTGTGACCTTGCAAATAGCTTAAACATGTTTAGAGTATCATTATGAACAACTTTGGTAATCATGGCTAGGGCTAAATAGATCACTAAGTCATAGTTCATGAACAAGTCTTCATTTAAATGTAACATGTTTGACCAAGTTTGAATCATATGCTAGAGACTATGCATGTATGTGATCACTAAAACAAAGTTGTAGTATTGGCAATAGGGAACAACTGTTATGTTTGGGTCATGAGGTAATAAGGTGCATAGGTTAGTCTTTTAGAGCTCATAAAAATCATCAAATAACTGTTTTCAACACTTAGCGAAATATTCTAAGTCTCATACTCTGACAGTGCTGTCAGCTCGACTTTGGATTGATTTTTCTCAGTAATGGTTGCGAATTTGCACATGATTCCTTAAGAGTAATTGTAGCTGGTACATTGGTTTATCATTTCGGTTTAAAGTGTTTGCACGTTGGAGCTACGGATTAGCTGTTAAATCGTCGTCAATTCTTGCTGTCAAGCTAATACGCGCGCGACTGAATCGAAATGAATCGCCGTCGTTAGTGGCCGACATCGGCAGAACCCGCGCGCCGCGTGGTGGCCGCGACGGCCGCGCGTCACCAGCGCCCTGCCCACCGTGGCCAGGCCGGCCAGTGCGAGCCTTTAACACCGCCAGCGCCTGCCCGAGCCATCCCGCGCCCCATTTTCAGTTTCCCCGCTCCTCCTTCGCCGTCTACAGCACCCGCAAGCGCAGCCGTCGAGCTCCCGCAGCGCCGCCGTCGCCTTGGACGGTACAAGCTAGCGCCTAGCCACTCCATCACCACCGCAGCACTCCACCGCCACCCCAGCAACCCACTGCCTCCTCCCGTGCCCGCTGATAGCACTCGGTAAGCGCCAGCGTCGTGCGCAAGCTCACCGGAGCTCCACCGCCAAGTCTGTCACCGCGGCTGGAAGGCCACCGTCCACCTTTGCTGCGATTTCTTGTGCGCTAGGTTCGCCTGAGTCCGTAGAAGCTCGTCAGCGCTTGAGCTTGCTTCGCCGTGGCCTCCACCGGCGTAGCGCCGTCTTCCCGCTCACCTAGCTAGTCCAACACATGCGCCCGGTCAAGTAGGTCATACCGCGTAGACGTCACCGCCAGCGGACTCGTCGTCGATGAGCCGTGGCCGCGCAAGCTTGCTCAGCGTCGCCGGCTCTGTTTTGGTTTCACTGACAGGCGGGCCCTGCTGACCAGCGGGTCCCACCGGTCAGCGACAGGAGTAGAATATGCTAGTTCATTTAAATCCAGATCTGGTGTTGTTTTGTAATTTTTGTATCTTCAGTTTGGTAGCTTCAAAAATTGTGAAATAAATTTGTTAGTGTTCCTTAGGAAGTGTAGTATTTAGGAAAAATATGTTCTTAACATTTGCAGTAGAAATTTTTGGAGATTTAAATAGAAATTTGAAATGTGCTTTTGAATGCATATAAATTTGTTTATTTTATATCTAGAGTTCCTGTGCTCCAAAAATTATGAAATTTTTGTGGTAAGCTATTCTTGTCATATATGAACTCTGGTAAAATTTTGAGGATCAGTGCATGTGTAGATTTATAGTTATAGATTTTTCTTTTATGAATAGTTAATCCTTGTATGAATTTTTATAAATTATTTATGAATCCAAAATTCATGAAATTTGTTGGAGGTAATCCTAGTACCATATGGATGCTAAGAAAAATAGGAAATCTATTGCTTGACACTTTTCACTAGGGTTTTCTATTTTTGTTATTGTAAGCCTTTCTGTCTTGTCATTTTTATATAGAGTGTTTTATTGAATAAAATGGTATGAAACTTTTACAGTAGTCCTTTGATAGCATTAGTAAGGCACTGTAAATTTTGAGAATTTATGAAGTAGATCTGGTATATGTTTATTATTTAACCTAAATATCTAAGTAAAATAATAAAGGCATTTAAATAAATAGTTTGGGCTTCACCATTATATTATATTAAATGTATTTGGTATGCTTAAACTGTTGGTAGACTTTATATTGTCAAATTTTGACTGATTACATGAAGTAGAAGTATTGTTACTTTGTATTGCGAATTGAATAGTTTCCGGACAGATTCTGGAGTTTGATGAGTTGCATATTGAAGATGATGTTTGCTGTAAAAATGGTTAATAACAAAGTTGTAGATAATTTGATAAGCTTTCCAGAAAGTCTAGGATCACTGCATTTGGATTAGTAGAACTCCTATTATGAGTAAAACAAGTAGCTGTTGTTTTGTGATACAGTAGATGCATAGTGGAAGTAGTAATTAAATAATCGAGAAGAGATATGCACCTACTCAATAAACATGATGCACTTGATAACATATATGCATTCGTAATACTTATGCCATATTCATACATCTAGGATCGGAGGAAGAAATAACGTTGCTGGAATTCGACGAAGCAGAGGAAGGGGACCAGCAGGAGAATCCTCCAGCCGCAGCTCCCGAAGGCGAGGAGCAGAATCCTGAAGAGCTTCCGGAGTGCCCTGATCACCGCCCTACTTCCTTTCTGCGAGGCAAGCCCTGGAGCATTCTAAGTCTCCCAGTATTTTATAAATGATTACTTAAGTACTTATGATTGATGCATTAGGTTATAAGAGTTGAATGGAACCACTTGATGCATATACATTCCTTGTCCAGCTATTACACCTTTAACCGGTATAGGTCCAGGATCAAATATATGCTTAGCCATGCTTAGACTGGTAGAAGTCGGGTGATTTCCTGTCACCGGCGAGATATAGGTGGATACCGGAGCACGGTTGGTTATAATTGCTATCGTGGAAAAGAAACATGGTTAATGTAAATGGAGACCGGGTGGGATGTTGATAGAGAAGCAACAAGACATGGAGGTCTTGGGTGTGGATCTATCCCCATCTGTGTCGATTAAGGACCGTACCATTGTTGGCGCTTCTGACAATTTTGAACGCATGCCTCTCACTTAGCTGGTCAGATAACTCGTTCCGACCGCGAAGCCGAGTAATTCAACTCAGGCCGGGACCCGTTCTGTTGTGCGCTCCTTCC